CAAGCGAAGCGCCCAGCCCGCCCTACCGACACGTCCGGGGGTGCAACAGGGAGGAGCAAGAAAAAGGGATGGAGGAGGAGGGGGAGGAAAAAAGAGAGGAGGAGTCCGGGAAAGGGAGGAGGAGGAGGCGGAGGAGGAGGAGGAGAGGCTTGCGCTATGTCGGACATCCTGCCCCCCCACCCAGGAGAGGCTTGCGCTATGTCGGACATCCTGCCCCACCCATCCCTTCCTTTGCTGCTCATTTATCTCTCTGTACCGACGGGTGTCATGGCACAGACAGAGAATCCGCAAAACTATCCCATCGTGTAATGCGCAATCTGAGATGGGGAGCTGTGAACATTGGAGGAGGAAGGGGGAGGAGGTGGCGGATGAGCAGAGGATAATCAGGAGGGATGGCAGGAGGATGAGGAATCAGAAAGGGCGAGGACGAGGACCCCGTCCTATCATGGCGAATGAGAGGAGGCTGGTGAAATTGCCTCGCCCTCTGCTGGGTTGCTGCTGTGGCCCAAACCTCTGGCAGATCGATCCGCGCAATCCCCTTAATTGTTTCTCGCTTTCGATGTTAGGGCAGTGGTCGGGTCCCAGGCCCTGGAGCCATCAAAAACTGTTCTGGACTTGGAGCTGCAATTTACGTCCAACTGTCTCAAAGACCCCATGAGCTCTGCTACCACCCGACAGGTTCAGCCATCTTCGATCCTGCCCACAGCTGCTCCCTTATTCCTCCTCCTCCTTCTCATCCCCCCACCCCAATCCTTTCTCCACCAGACCAAAAATATTGTATATTTCCATCCTCCCTGGCCGCCACTCATCTATGTCGTCTCCCCGTCGTCCTCCCACTCTCATCTTCCCTCCCACCTCTCCCTCCTCGAACCTTCCCTGATCCTCAGATTCGCTACTGCTGTAGGTTCTCTCCATTATATTCTCTCCTTCTTGAATTGACTAAAGCTAACAAAAGGCGCAGGGCAAGCGAGCCAAGACGCAAACAACACGGGCAAACACGCTAGCGCACCCAAACTCAAAGGACACTGTTCAATTACTCAACTCGGCTTGAGCACAGAAAAGTTGCGAAACCAGGGTGCGAGGCAGGCGAATCAGAGAGAGGCACGACGAGCGGGCTATCCACGGGTCGCCCGCCGTGGACTGCAGCCTGCACTCCGACCCTGCCCTCTCTCCCTGCTCACCCCCCCGCCTCTGTTCTTTCAATCATCTCTCCTTCCCCTCCCCCTTTACCCTGAGGACGAGGGCGAGGAAGAAAGGATCATGCAGAAACAACTAATGACATACTCAGAAACTCTCGGAGGTCCGCGCGAAGCTCCGACAGTCGATGCTCATGGCGTGATTCAATCTTCGATCGGAAGAGAGCAGGGAGCAGACGCCGCGGCGGAGCAGGGATAGCCCCATGATTCACCAGCGCGCGATTCTGCCTTCAGCGACACTGGCGCCACAGCCTGTCGAGCAACGCCGCGCAATCCCCGCGAGGGGGCGCTTCAGCAGCAGGCTTCGGTACAGCAGCGGTTTCTGGCCAGCGGGCGCGGGCAGGGCCTGCAGGCGGGGCACACGCGAGCGCGGACATAGTCTGGCCCCGCGCAGGAAGGGGGCGGAGCGGGAGAGGGCGGCACCAACACGCCCGACCATCAGGCCGCTGCCCTCGCGGTCTCCCGGAAGCGCCGCGAAGGGAGCCGCCCGCCGCGCCCCGCGCGCCGCTGCTGGCGACCTCTGGCGCCGATGCCTGTGCCCTCGGGGGCGAAAAACGCATCCGTGTCCGCGGCCTTGCGGACCGGGCCCCGGGGCCGCGACCCAGCGGATGCGGGGCGCTTTTGTCGCGGATGCCCCGCGCGGAGCGCATCGCGCGACCGCGCACCCGCGGGATCGCGCCCTGGAATCCAGACCGCGAGGGCGCGGATACGGATGCTCGCAGCTCGTGATGCGCAGCTGCCCGTGCTGCCGATGCAGCTCGCGGCCAATAGCCGGCGGGGGCCCCCCCCACAAGCAGTGCTGACCGCCGGGGACGGTGCGAAGAGATGCCGCCGAGGAAGGCGTCATGCCGTGCGCCTCAGGCCGTTGGGTCGCGCAATGCGCCGCCCTCCGCAGAGGAAGGCGGCGGCGGGCAGGCGCGGAGCGGGTGAGGCACGTCCGACTGGGCCACTTCTGCTTAGCGTGTCGCGGCGGCGGCCCCGGCGACACTGGCGTGTCGCTCCGCTCTGCGGGGCCGGGGACTGGGGAAAGCTCGGGTTGTTGCCGCCTGGGGACCGGGACGTGAACAAACACCACACAGGCCTCCTCCGAGCCTGCTGCTGCCAGCGAGCGATGAGGGGCGAACAGTGCAGCACTGGCCTCGCAACTGTTAGATCAACGGGGCACATAACTGCAGGCCCAAACAATGTACAATCAAACTGTCGCAGCGCATCGAGCCAGATCCGTAGACCAAGAGGAAGAGGAGGCGCTGATGGTGATCGTAGTGGTCATGGTGCGATGGCCAGAATCCACCTGGCCGCTCCGTGGCCTGAGGCGCACTGGGGCCTCCTTTCCTTGGGTGGGCGGAGGGAAAAAAGAGGGCGAGGAGGGGGAGGAAGAGGGGAAGGATGGGGAGGAGGAGAAGGAGGAGAAAGAGGAGGAGCAGAGGGAGGAGGAGGCGTTTTGTCCTGTGGGGGCACGATCCAGGATCCGAGCCCCCCCGCACGAGCTCAGCGCCGGACCAGGGGCCATCGGCAGTCGGCCGACGGGCCCCTGATGGTGCGCGGCGTCTTCGGAGCTCTCCGCGGCACAGCAAGAGGGTGCCCGCCCACACAGCAGCGCTTGGCGAGCCGAGTGCGGCAGGCTCTTGCCGTGACGGCGCCGGGGCGAGTGTCTGACACCGCGCGGATCTTCGAGCTCGAAATATCGCGGCTCTCCTGCGATCGGCTGCGCGCAAGAGACCCTGGGAAAGGGGACCGCGGGGGAGGCCAGATCCAAGCAATCCAAGCGCGCTGGCCAGAACTGGTGGCACGTAGTTGGCCGCGGATACGGCATGGCTGTTTTTCTCAGTTTCCGAAAATATGCTTTGTGAAAATGGGAACGGTAACATAAACGGCGAACGGGAACGGGACCAAAACAACACCGAGATTGGGATCAGAATTGGAACCAGTAAACAAACCGCGACGGGACCGCAAAGAAAGCGGCGCCGCAGCCGACAGACATGCGGCAAAGCGGGACTGGTAACATGATCAACCCACGAACCCGGACAGCAATACAGAAATGTAAGGCATGGCAACGTTTCAAAGACACCTGATTGGGCGACGGGCAGATGCAATGCTGAATGTATCGATCTTGATGTACCGTGGCGACGGCTGTGCTGTGCTGGGCCATGCTGAACTGCGATGTGCCATGCCCCGATTGTGCTCTACATATAGCGATGTGGATCGAGTCCTCTTTGCATTCGAGTCCTGACCGAACTAATCTGGATCTTAAGCTCGAGCTGCCTGAGCAGATGGTAGCTGCACCAAAACTAATCGACAGAGGGGACATGCCAGGAGGACGCGCCGCGGAACGTCCCAAGGGACGCGCCAGGCGACGTGCCAGGGGACGTGCCATGGGCACGCACCGCGGGACGTGCCAAGGGCACGCGCTACGGAACGTGCCAATGGACGTGCCGCGGGACGTGCCAGGGGACGCGCCGCGCGACGTGCCAGGTGGACTCGCCACGGAACGCGCCAAGGAACGTGTCAAGGTGCAATGTTCTATCTTGATGTACCGTGGCGACGGCTGCGCTGTGGTGGGCCGTGCTGAACTGCGATGTGCCATGCCGCGATTGTGCTCTATATATATATATACATATAGCGTTGTGGATCGAGTTCTCTTTGCATCCGAGTCCTGACCGAACTGATCTGGACCTCAAGCTCGAGCTGCCTGACCACATGGTAGCTGCCCCAGAACTAATCGACAGGGGGACATGCCAGGAGGACGCGCCGCGGAACGTCCCAAGGGACGCGCCAGGCGACGTGCCAGGGGACGTGCCATGGGCACGCACCGCGGGACGTGCCAAGGGGACGCGCTCAAGTTCTACAAAACAAGCGATTCGCTCGAGACATCCTCGGTAACTCTGCGGAGCAAGCGTTTCGCTCGAGACATCCTCAACACACGAAAGAGTGGCCCGCACCCTATGATTCATCGATCGGGATTTCAAAAACAAGCGTTTCGCCTGAGACATCCTCAAATTTTAATCCGCCGGCCCACCTCGACATCGATATTTATCAGGGAAAGAATCCGCTGGCCCACCTCAGTTGAGGCACCGGGGACATGTTTACCAACCAACAAAGAACCCTGGGCCGGCGCCCTTTCCGGGAACAAAAACAGCCCTGTTGCTTCCAAGGCCAGCTGAGAAAGGGACCCGTGTAGGCCCGCACCAGACGTCACTCCGGCGAAGCAGTTCCTCCGTAAGAAGACGCTAGGACGAGGATAAACTCGTGAGGGCGAATCGAAGATCTGGAGGATGCTTCAGGCGCCGCGGCCTTCTCAGAGCATTCCGGAACACCCTGAGCGCGTTCCAGAACACTCTGGAACTGACTTACCTAGCACGGGGGAAACGGGTCCTGTGGGAAACGGGTCCTGGACCCTGGTGCCTTCCTCCAGGACGAGCTTGCCATCCTGAGCCGTTTTCAGCCTGGGGTGGGCCCCGAGAACCCGAAGACGTAGAAAAAAACCTCAGGGCCCTTCTCCCTCAGGACCCGCTGCACCCACGGCGATGTCTCCTCGTCCTGGCCACCGCCGGTCCCTTGCGCGTGGCCGACGGCGGCGCGGCCCGCTCGCCGCCGACCGACTCCGGACCGCAGCTGGCGCCCGCTCGGCCTCGGGCGCCCGCGTCGGGCTTCGCCCCCCGCGCGCCGGCGCGGCGCGTGCCCGCCGCACCCGACGTGGACCGCCCGAGGCGGCGGCGGCGGGCCGCGGCGGAGAGGTCGGCCGCGGCGGCGGCCGCGCGCGCTGCTGCCGCGCGCGCTGCCGCGTCGGCGGCAGGCCCGCGGCCGTCAGGCCTCCCCGCCGCCGTCGCCGCCTGCGGGCGGCGCCGAGGTCGGCGCGGGCGGAGGCGCCGCTGCGCTGCCGGCCTGGCGGCGGGGGCGGCGGTCACCTTCCCGAGCATGTGGGCGACGAGGAGAAGCGGGTCTTGCGCGAGATGGCATCGCGACCTCCCGCGGTGGCGAACAGTAGGACCACAAGAAACCTTCCACAAGAAACCCAACCCTGAGACCCCAGGATTTCCATTGTGTTTGGGATGCGGGCGTCACGCTTTCTATCGTGGAACCATCGAAACCAACGAAACGCAGGGCACCCTGGAGGCAAGCGGGGTGCTTCTTGGCATGGGCTTCCTCTGTACGCGGGCCGCCAGCGCGGCACGCCACATTGGAAACGAGGGCGCTTACGCGGGCAGCTTACGCGCCGATGTCGGCAAAGGCGGTCCCGTGTGGAAGTGCAACTGCTCGCGATACCCTCCCCGACGATCGACAAGCTTGTGATTTTGCAGCGAGCTGGAGCAATGGCAAGAGTACGAGTGCTGGCCAAGAAACGCCCGCATGATCTGTCTTTCGTACGCCTTGGTGTAGCTGCTAGTCTAGCCAGCACTGCATGAGCAAGAAAGTCTGGTGGGTTCGGGGCTCAGAGAGGCCGGTTGCGTTCTGGAGGGCCACGGCGCGGTCAGAGAAGGCCCACGACAGCACGGCAGCTACGGCTTCGTTTGCGTGCTTCCTCTCTCTCTCTGTCTCACTCTCTTCCTCTCTCTCTCTAGTGTTCTCTCTGTCTCTCTCTCGGGCTCTCTCTCTGGGGCTCTCTCTCTCTCTCTCTGCTTCTCTCTCTGATTCTCTCTCTCTCTCTCTCTGTCTTCGCCCTGCCATTCACATGGGGCACCTCCAGCCCGAAGAGGAGGTGGGCGTAGCGGGCGCTTGCACCCCGCGCGCCTGGACGGAGACTCCGCCCGAATCGTCGTTGCACCCTCTCTCTATCCCTCTCTCTCTCTCTCGCTCTCTCTCTCTCTTTCTTCACACACTCCCTCTCTCTCGTTCTCCCTCTCGGGGCGCCGACGATGGACGTCTCGAAGAGGGTTCGCGCATCCCGGCCCGAGGAGAGTGCGCGGAAGAGGGGGGGGTCAGGGGTAAGGGGACAGATTGAAAGAAGACGAGGACCCCGTGAAATCTGGAGATGTCATGGATCCCGCCAAAATATCCGCACACCCCTGGTCCTGACCCTCCTCTTGGACGACCCCGTCTCTCTCTCTCTCTCTGTCTCTTCACGTCACCAGTGTCCAATCTTCTGATGCGGCCGGCACCTTCAGCGCGCGCTTCCCATAAACTGTACCCAGCAGATTCCGGAGACGACTGCCACCTGACCTCATGCTGGGCGCAGGCGTCTGTCCGCATATCTGTCTCAAAATCGTAAATTACAATGGTCCTTATCTTGCTGGATGATCGACGAAAGCCCAGGCGACCAACCTGCCAGAACCCCTGGGCGCTGTTTAGGCGCTCCTGGCGATTCCCGCGTGTGCCTCTGGGAAACCAGCCCCGCCCGAACCTACGTCAACATCCCTGAATACCCAAACCCGTCCAGTAAACGCTCAAATCAGCTTAGTAGGATCCCTCAGAAGGCTCCAAGAGGCCCTGAGACACCCCAGGAGGCCCACAATAAGCTCCAAGAGAGGCTCGAAAACACTCCAAGAGAGGCTGAACATGGAGTCAAGATGGCATCACGGGCTCCAGGATCGCCCAAGAGAACCCCGAAACCACTTCGAACAATCCGAAATGGCATCAAGAGGTCCCCAAGATCGTCCCGACACGGCCACGAAGCTCCCAAAAGAGGCCCAAGGGACCCAATGACGCGATGCCAGGAGAAACAGAAAAAGGTGACCTCTGTTCTGGCCCCGGAGCACCTCCCCCTTTGACGGCCACACTATCACCAGCAACCACATCAACCCACAAAGAGGCATCCAGGAGACTCCCGAGAGGCCCACAAAGGAGGCCCCAAGATGCATCCAAGAGGCGTCTTGTCCATAGCCACGTGCAGTGGCGGGATGGCCCGACGGCCACGAGATACGAGCGTTCTCTGTTCAGACTAGAAGCCAGCTCAAGTACGCGTTAAGCTGGAACCGCTGGGCCAAGCAGCAGAGTGCGACAACACTTCGACATACAATGCGAATGGCTGAACATTAGAGAAAGTGCATGGCACGCTATGGGAACATTAAACCGCTACGCAGGAAATTCCCGTCAAGACGGGTGATTAGGTGGACCTTCTGGGGTTGAGCAATAAGATGGAAAGCGCTCAGTCAAGCTTTGTACATCCTATGAGTAGCCATTTAGAGGCCAATGCACTGCGAACCATGATGCTTTAGCAGTGTCGCCGCGCGAATTGTAAGTGTTTGGGCGCGGGGCTGCAACTGGAACCGACCTGGAGCTCTGCAGCGCCGCAAACCATGAAACAGACTTCGGATGGCTGCAGGTTCCCAAATCGGCTTCCACTCTGAACGCAAAGCATGGTAGATCGCTGCCTGGCTGACTTCAGGTTTGTGAAGAAAAGTCCTGGCTGCGTTCTCTCGACGATGACGACTTAGACCTCGACGATTACCTCGACCTCGACGCCAACGCGGACTTCGACGACGACTGGCGGCGACGACGACGACGAGCGCGACGGTGACGGCCTTGACGACGACGACGACACGACCTCGACGACGACGACGACGACTTACCAGCCTAAGACAGATCCCTATCTCTACCCTTCTGATTGGCATCGCCTGATCTCGATGCCGATCTTCGGGATTCATTCTGTTTCTGAGGGCGCATCCCCAAGATTGTCATCGCTAACTGGCTTGTCGATCTCAGGCATAGGGAGTTGAGTAGCTCGAGGCTGGCTCACGACGCTCCCCACGACGACGACGAGCGTCGGCCCAACCCCCTGCGGCGGCGCGGCGGGGGCCTCCGCCGCCTGGCCCGCAGCCGCGGCGCGGACCTCCTTGAAGGACGCCTCGCGCCGGAGGGGGGGCTGCGGCCAGAGCTCCTGCCTGGCGCGTCGCGGCGGCGGGCCCGGCGGCGCGCTGTGGCCTGCAAGCGGATAGCGTGTCGCTGTGCTCCGCTCCGCAGATCGGGAGGCTCGGGAAGGCTCGGAAAAAGGCTCGGGGTTTCACGCTAAGCAACAGTTCCCGACCGCAGGTGTGGGGGGAGGGCGGCTCACGACACTCGAGGCGAAGTGGCCTGGCCCGCTGAACAGAACGCTTGAGGCTCATCGGAGCCAGCATCGGATTCTCGAAGGCCCCTCCCGGGCTGGCGCGATGCTCTGCACGAGTGCTGCGCTCTGCACTCGTGCTGTGCACTCTGAGCTACGGGCCTATCGGGGAGGGGAGGGCTGGAAATGGAGGAACACTCGCGTCTGACGTCTGGGGACCATCAGGACGGAAATTGTCCGTCGCTCTCGGCCTCTGTGAGCACTCGACGAGCCGCGGGACAGTCAAAAACGGGTCGGGATGAAAAGCCTGCCCCTGCGAAATGGGAGAGCTGAGGTGGACGGTGGCGGGAAAAAAGAAAATGCACAACACATGCCAACTTCCGATCCGCGCCGACGGCGACGACGACGACGGACGACGACGATCAACGACGACAAAAGACCGACGATGACCGACGACGACCGACAACTGACAGCAATCGACGACCGACAACTGACAGCAATCGACGACCGACAACAAACGACACTCGACGACGACAAACGACCGACCACGACGACCGACGGGGACCGACGAAGCGGAAGCGGAAGCGGAAGTCTGCCATCGCCGCGGGGCGACCCTACAAGGACGGCAGGCGCGCCAAACGCGCTGGCCTCCAGGGAGGCCGGGTTGACGCACAGGTGGAACGACGAACAAGATGGATAGATGGATGGATTGACGAATGGAAGGAGGGATGGATGGATGAATGTGAAAGAACTATCGCCACATGTGTTTGACGTATTCGTCGTCGAAGCCTTGCAATGTCTCGAACAATTTGGCCACTTCGCACCACGATTCCCAACTCTTGTCTTTTGCAAAAACAACAATGTCATCTTCCCAACGGACGAATCTTCCTGGTCGACTCCGGACTGGACAGCCGAGCATGCCGCGTGATTGACTTGACCACCAATCATAATTGCGCCGTTATGTTGTCTTTTTCGCCCACCGCTCTGGCGGCATATTTGCAATCTTCCCAGCCTGGCGCCACTTGATCCTCAAAAACGATTCCGTCCAACACGGTACGTCTGCAACTCATGCTTTGCGTTCTGCTGCTCGCGTCGCTCTCTGCATCCAAGAGAAATACTCTTGATCGTACGGCGACCGACGAAAACGGCGGCAACGACGACGACGTCCCGCGACGATGACGACGACGACGACGACGACAGCGACGACCAGCGGCACCGACGACGACAAACAACGACGATGCACGACGACCGACGACAGAAGACGACGACGACGACCGACGACGACGACCGACGACGACGACGACGACGACCGACTTCGACGTCCAATACTGGCAACGGCGACGGGATCGGGCGTCCCGCCGAGCTGCCGGCGCACCAGCCCCCCCCCCTGGGGCCTCGATCCTGTCCAGCAGGCCCTTGCCGAGCAGCCAGAGCCGGGGGAGCGTGCGTTCCCTGACCCCCTGGGGGGACCCCTGGAAGTTAGCAGAAGCTGGCGCACGTAAACAGAAAGTCTCGGAGGTCCGCGGGGAGCTCCGGAAATTTATATTTGCTCAGTTTCCTCCTTCTGGAGAGGGGTGTCGAAGCCGGTGGCACCCCCTCGCGGGGGGCAAGGACCACAACTCTCCCACTTGCGGCTGCTCTGCCTCGGTGGCCGCCAGCAGCCGCTTCCGCTCCGCGCGAAGAGCCTGCGACGGAGCGCCCCTCCTCGTCACCGTCTTCGTCGCCGCCGCCGCCACTGCACTCGTGTCGCTGTCGTCGCCCGTCGCTGTCGTTGTCATCCTCATGGTCGTCGCCGCCGCCACTGCACTCGTGTCGCTGTCGTCGCCCGTCGCTGTCGTGGTCATCCTCATGGCCGTCGCCGCCGAGGCTGCCGTCGTCGGCGTCATCGTCGTCGTCGGCGGTCGCCGTCGTTCGTCGTCCTTCCTCGGACGCCGTCGCTGTCGCTGGTCGCCGCACTCATCGTCGTCGTCGTCGTCGTCGTCGACAGTCGGTCAGCCGTCGTCATCGCTGTTGTTGCCGGTGGCGTCGGCGTTGTCTGTCGCCAATGTCGTCAGCATCCTTGCAGGTCGCCATTGTCCTCGTTAGTCGTCCCCGCAATCCTCGTCTGTCGTTGTCCCATTCGTCATCGTCGTCTACAGCGACCTCCTGCTCCCTCTTCCTCCTCTCACATGCCTACATCATCAAGGTCCACCTCAGAAAAAAACTCAGTCGTCTCGAGACTCGGCCTCAAACTCTCCAGAAACCGAGTTCCGAGAAACTCAAACGATCATTCAGAAAAGCACTTCGATCTCGATTATCTATGTTTCTCCCTGGAAGTTGCGTCCCCCATCGCTCCCCCTCCCCCTTCTGAGGAGGAGGATCGCTCCCCATTAAAGGTCAAAGGAGGGGGCACGGCGTTGAAATGAAAACTGGAGAGGTTTCGAAGGAAAGCTCTTGGCACCCTGGCGGTTCCCCATCCCTCGCCAGGGAGGAGAGAAAGAGAAAGACAAGGAAGGAGGAGGAATGCGGGTTTGCGCAAATGAGTAGGAATAGACCCTCGCGTCCCCCCAGTCTCAATCCCATTCTCTCTACTAGCTGCAACCTCCACTTCCTTCCTCCTCTCCCTCAACCATCCCGCCTTGATTCCCTCCCCACCAGATGCATCTAGAACCTATCATCATCGAGCTGGTTGGCAGAGTGCTCAAGTCGCTCCCAGTCAAAACTACAGCGGTGGACGTCGTTACTCCACTGGATCTGCAGAGTTTGCCCTCTGATGGGAGAGAGGACTACATCGACCTAGACGATGACGTGGGGTCTGCAGGTGCGTGGCCTGCGCAGATTCTGGGCACTATCGGAGTCCTGCTCCCAAAGCCTCGAAGAGGTGAGCGGGTCATTGGACTTCTCCCAGCGGTCGTCAACATTTGGAGCCGAATCAGGTACGGCATCACGTCGTAGTGGTCAGACTCACTGTCTGCCTTCTGGGACACGGCCATCTCTGGCAGCACTTCGCTCAGAGCCGCCTTGCGGCGATCGCTGCTCGACGAGTCTGCTCACGCCATGGGCGTCTCTACCGCTACGTCGGTGCTCGATGTCGAACAATTCTATGATTAGCTGTCTTGGATGTTGCTTGGGCAAGCGGCCATTGATCTGCACTTTCCAGCTGTGGTGGTTCTTCTGGAGCTCGATTTTTGTGCAGCACCTCGGCTTCTTACGAGGGGATAGTGGGGCCTCTGACGCCATTTTCACCACTCGGTTGTTGGTTGCGGGATCTCCACATGGAAAACGTTTGGCCAAGACACTCCAACACCCCTTATTGCAGAAGGCGCATGGACGCTTCAATTTTCTGGACGTATATCGACAACGCAGTCGCCCGTACGAAGGGCACCACCTCCGCGGTGAAATCCCAAACCCACGACGCCAACGTGGTCCTTGCTGCTTGGTCTGGTAAATCCGCCGACCCTGCCGGCGTGTGTGAGGGGCTGTGCCGTTCGTCGTCGTCGTCGTCGTCGTTGCAGTGCTCTGGCGGGCTTGAGGAAAATCGGCCCATGTCGCAACCACGTCAAAGGAAAGCCCCTTTCCTTTGTCCCTTCCCTGGCGGGGGGGGTGGGTCCCGGGGGGGTCCTGGGGGCCGTCTCCATTTTTAAGGTCCCCGAGCTTTTTCTATCGTTTTTTCTCTTTATTCCTCTCGATGTCCTCCTTGACTTGTTCCTCTCTTTCTCTTTCCCTCTCTCTACCTATCAATATCATTTCTCCTATTCCAATATATGTATGTATGTTGTTTTTTCTGTTGACCTCTTCCTCTCTTTCTCTCTCTCTCACTCTCTCTCTCTCACACTCTCTCTCTCTCTCTCTCACTCTCTTTATCTTCATCTCTATATGTTCAACCGTCCCTGCAAAGAGACAGGGGCGGGGAGAAGTTGGAGCCCCTCTCAATCAAGCTTCGTTTTCGGATATGCGGGTTAAAGGAAACAGCTCGTATAAGAAAACGGGAACATGAGGGGAGTCACGACGAGAGGGGAAACGAGGGCGAGGGGAGCGCAGGGAGGAGGAGCAAGAGGAAAGGAAGGAGAGAGGAAAATAGAGGAGGGAGGAGGATCCATTTCTAATCGGATTCTAATGGAGGTGGATTCGTATGTAAGAATATTCTATCAAAGGTGGATCCATATGTAATAGGTGTCTATTAGCGGTGGATCCATCTGTAGTGAGATTGTATCGGAGGTGAACCCATCTGTAATTGGATCTATTAAAGGCGGATCCATCTCTAATCAGATTGCATTACATGTGGATCCATCTCTAATCGGATTCCATTAGAGCTGAAACCATCAGCAATGGGATTCTATTGGAGGTGGATCCATCCCTATTGGGATTCCATGAGAGATAGATCCATATATAATCGGACCCCATTAGAGCTGAATCCATATGTACTAGGGTTCTATGTTAAAAAAAAAGGTGGATCCATCTGTACTATGATCCCATTAGAGGTGGATCCATCCCTGATGGGATTATATTAGAGGTGGCTCCATCTCTCACTGGCTGCCATTCGAGGTGGGTCCTTCTGTAATAGGTTCCCATTCGAAGTGGACCCATCTCTGTTAGAATCCCATTAGACGTGGATACGTCGGTAGTAGGATTCTATTAGAAGTGCACCCATTCCTGATAGGACTCCATTGGACGTGGATCTCACTCTGATAGGGTCCCATTCGGGGTGGGTCCATCCCTAATAGGTTCCTAGTAGAAGTTCATCCATCCCGAAAAAGACTATATTAGATGTGGATCCATATGCACTACGCTTCCATTAAAGGTGGATCCATCTCTAAACGGATTATATTAGAGATGGATCCACCTTTAATTCGCCGGCCCAACGGGCCAGAGGCGTGCTAAGATCTCCGGCAACTGGTTAACAATTCTCTAGTTCGCGCGCGCGGGGCGGCCCCTGGGGGTCCCCGGACGAAAAGTACCCCGACCGACCCCCGGGCGATCCCCGGGAGACTCCCCCGGAGCGCTCCAGGAGCGCTCCATGAGCCAACAGGGCTCCGAGACGTCCCCGAGAGCCCCAAGAAAGGCCAAGAGGCCCCCAAGAGGCCCCCAAGATGGTACACGAGGGGTCCGACATGCCACAAGATCGCTCCAAGACGCCCAAGATAGCCCCCAGACGCCCCAAGAGGCCTCCAAGAGCACTCCCAAGAGGGCCCCCGGAGGCAAAAATCATTGTTTTTCCTTAGGTTTTTGAGAGATTTTGGAACTTCCACCTTTTCGGCTTCCCGACGCCCAAAGACGGCCCAAGAGGCCCCCAAGCTCGCCCCAAGAGGGCCAAGAGGCCCCCAAGAGGGCCCCAAGATGGCCCAAGAGGGCTCGAAGACGGCCCAAGAAGCCTCCAAGACGGTCCAAGAGGGCCCCAAGAACGCCCCCAAAGGGGCCCCAGAGAGGGAACACGAAACAACATTTCGAGCCCTCGGCCCTAAGAAGCCCCTACGAGGCCCCAAGAGGCCCCTAAGAGGCCCCAAGAGGCCCCCCCCCACGAGGCCCTCAGGAGGCCCCCAAGAGTCCCCCAAGCGGCCCCAGGAGGCCCCCCAAATGCCCCCCCGAGCGCCCCAGGAGTCCCCCAAGCGGCCCCAGGAACCCCCAAAGCGCCGCATTGACACCAGGCCCTCGGGCAAACGGCAGACATGAGACTGTATGGGCCGGCGGAATGAGCGAAGCGATTAAATAAGATTCAATTAGCGGTGGATCCATATGTATTTAGATTCTGATAGAAGCGGTCCAATCACTTTTCGGATTCCATGTGGGGTGGATCCATCTGTATTAGGTTTGAACTTGAAGCGGGCCCATACCCCATAGGATGTCATTCGTGGTGGGTCCAGCTGTAGTCGGATTCTATTAGGGATGGATCCATATGTAATGGGGTTTTATTAGAGGTGGACCCGGCTGTAGCAGCATTCTATTTTTCTTTTGAGGTTGTATTAGCAATGGGCTCATCTCTAGTAGGGTCCCATGTGAGGCGGACCCGTCTGTAATAGGATCCCATTAGAGGTGGATCCATATGTAATAGGACTCTGTTAGAGGTGGGCCCATTTTTAATATGAACCCATCCGATGTGGATACATGGCTATTCGGATTAAGTTAGAGATGTACCTATCCCTAACATAATTCATTCGGAGGTGGGTCCATATGCAATAGGATTATATGAGAGGTGGGACCATTTGTCATGGGATTCGATTGGAGGTGGGCCCATCCGTACTAGGATTCCATTACAGGTGGGCCCATCCCAGATCGGATTATACCTGAGGTGGTTCCATCTCTAAACGGATCCCATTCGATGTGGATCCATTTGTAATAAGATTCAATTCGACTTGGATCACTCTCTAATAAGATTCGAGTGGCGATGGAACCATCTCTAGTCGGATCCGATTAGAGGTGGATCCATCTGTAGGATTCTATGATATGTGGTTCCATCTCTAATGGGATCCTATCAGAAGTGGATTTGTCGTTAATGGGGCCCCATCCAAATCGGATCCATCCCTAATGGGAGTCCATGATAAATGGATCCATATCTAATCGGACCGCGTTAGAGTGGAACCCATATGTACTAGGACTCTATAAGAAGTGGATCCATCTGTACCAGGATCCCATTAGACGTGGATCCATCTCTAACGGGATTAGATTAGAGGTGGCTCCATCTCTTATCGGCTTCCATTAGTAGTCGATC